TAATTTCTCTTTTTGTTTCTTTTCTTTTTCCTCCAACAACTGCTGTAATCTCTCTTCTTGTTTCTTTTCTTTTTCTTCCAACAACTGCTGTAATTTCTCTTTTTGTTTCTTTTCTTTTTCCTCCAACAACTGCTGTAATCTCTCTTCTTGTTTCTTTTCTTTTTCTTCCAACAACTGCTGTAATTTCTCTTTTTGTTTCTTTTCTTTTTCCTCCAACAACTGCTGTAATCTCTCTTCTTGTTTCTTTTGCTGTTCATGTATTGATACCATCAAATCTGCTAAGCTGTAGTTTGATTTGTCGCTTTCCATCTTATTTTTTTATCTCACTTCTGACACCAATTTGTTATGTCTCTGGTCGTTAGTTAATTTTTCCGTAAAAAATCTTTCCGAAGAAACTTTAGCAATACAAGTCCTTTCTTAAATAAATCTAGTTTATTCTTTCTGAATATAACTTTGCAATACACTTAATTTCTACAGTCACGCTATAACAAACGCTATAATTCACAACGAACGACTCGCGTGCTCGACTCAATTGTCAGTCTTTATCTCTGTCTGCAGTTCAATTCCGTTGTTGCCGTCACTTCTTGGCCGTCTTATATACAAGCATACCGTACATCTAGTAAACACTCGAGGCTTCAGGAACCTTCGAGAATATGACGTGTTACTAGCGTCACGTGACTCCCACTGTCGTAACACTATATACTCTAATTTTTGTGAACTGATGAAACTTAACATAGTTTTATTTTTGCGTTGTTAATCTTTTTCTGGTCACTAAAAGAATAACTTATTAATTTAGAAGTATCTATCTTTCCGAATTTCTAATTTTTATGAACTAATAATATTTGTAAAGTTGCTATAAATTAATTTACAGTATTGTTTGTTTGTTTTGTTTTGAAATTCGCGCAAAGCTATACGAGGGCTATCTGCACTAGCCGTCTCTAATTTAGCAGTGAAAGACTAGAGGGAAGGTTTTCAGTAAAAAAAATAGATTTTTGGTATCCTAATCCACGTAAAACCTATGAATTTGTCACGTGCCAACAAATCCATCATTTCATGTGGAGCATA